GAGATAGACCCCGTACACCAGGAGTTATCTCTCACCCCAGCTAAGAGATAGACCCCGTACACCAGGAGTTATCTCTCACCCCAGCTAAGAGATAGACCCCGATCTCTCACCCCAGCTAAGAGATAGACCCCGTACACCAGGAGTTATCTCTCACCCCAGCTAAGAGATCAACTTATCTTACATACATCACACAATCCGCTGTGTTGAAACGCCCTCATGACACATTTCCGCTCCCTTGTACTTAGTAGGTGAGACGCGTAGGCTTCTACCATTAAAATACAATGCTAACAAAAGATATCCTGACTGGCAATACTCTTCTCTACCCCGTAATTACACGTCAGACGAACGTTCGCCCACCTTTTGCCTGCAATGGTGCTCTATGATATGACCGATAAAAAGGTGGGCTGCAGAAGTCGACGATCCAGTGGTAGTGAAGTGAATGACGACCTCAGGGTGTAGATTATTTATTAATACAGTGTAGTGTAGAGTAACGGCCGATAGTGTACAACAACACCCCAGACACCGTGGGAGGGCGACCACTGTGTACTGTACACCCACCATGACGCAGTAACTGTCACATTACACCGTTTTATCTGTCTATAATTTACATAATTTCCTGTCCAACAATATTTAACTTTAATTAAACTCTAAAATCAGCTTGACCTAAACTTTAATTAAACCTAACTTCACTTAACCTAATTCTAACTCAAACCAAACTTTATTTGACCTTATTCTTACCTAACCCTAATTTATCTTAACCTAACCTTTATCTGAGTAACATAACAGAGAAGAAACCTAAACTAACTGATCAAACGTGAATTATTATTTAATAATCTAAATGGTGACTGTGTGAGTGATTGTGAAGAGTGGTGACTGTGTGAGTGATTGTGAAGAGTGGTGACTGTTGAAGATTGGTGACTGTGTGAGAGGTACAAGTTCAGTGAGTGAGTCACCTGCCTGAGGTGCCACCAGGTGTCCTACACTCTCCCCTAGAATGGTTCCAGGTAATTGACTCACCTCACCCTCGACCGTCGGGCTGGGAAGGATCAACCAGGAAAAAATTACATATTGCTTAACACAAACAAATTTCAATACAATATTTTCTAACTATTCGTCCACACGGAGAGGAAATTGAATCTACTGATACTATGATACAACTCAACGTTAAACCAAACCAGGCCTAAGCTAACCTAACACAACAAAATGTAATACAACCGCATCTTACTATTAATACGCAAAGAAAAAGCATATTTACTGTGTGGTGGTAGTGACGCGTGTGGTGGTAGTGACGTGTGTGGTGGTAGTGACGTGTGTGGTGGTAGTGACGTGTGTGGTGGTAGTGACGTGTGGTGGTAGTGACGTGTGTGGTGGTAGTGACGTGTGTGGTGGTAGTGACGTGTGTGGTGAGTAGTGACGTGTGGTGGTAGTGACGTGTGTGGTGGTAGTGACGTGTGTGGTGGTAGTGACGTGTGTGGTGGTAGTGACGTGTGTGGTGGTAGTGACGTGTGGTGGTAGTGACGTGTGTGGTGGTAGTGACGTGTGTGGTAGTGAAGTGTGGTGGTAGTGACGTGTGTGGTGGTAAGTGGCGCCACTTCCGGTAACTTCCCCCTTCACTGGGCTAAGGTCGAGGACACGAGCCAGCCAGTCACTTTCTAGGGCCCGCCAACCTTCTTATTTACCAACTTGCGATATAATTTATAACGATTTACCGTCATTTATTTGATTAATTTAAAGTAATGACCTTTATTTAGTCTTATATCTCAACTATTACGACAGCTACATGTACATTAAACACACCATTATACCAGAAGACGTAACGCAACACAACAAATTTTAGACCCCAAGTGACAAGTGTTTAGTCACCCCCACAATCAATTCCTCTCATGTCGCAAGTCAGAAATTCATTCATAATTCCTCTACTAATGCCCAGTCAACACGGGCCATTTTCCCCTCACCAGCACACACAAGAAACAATTACATCCAACGCAATTATAGTCGACTTACAGCAGTGACGCAACGAACCAGCTCCTCGACGGGCTATGAAACGTTGATAGCTTTGTTCCTGTGTCAGTGTTGGACGTTCGACGGTAAGAACGGCGTGGCTGTCGACCTAAATCTTGAAAAGTTATGTTGTAAGATACTAAGACTTATTCACCCTGACAATTGAGGCATCAAAATATACGAAAACACTTCCCATAATAATGTTGTAGCCTTCCTGACTGTAATTTTATTCAGCTTGGCGAATTACCGATATGACTTAAACTGATGAGTGTGATAAGTATATACTTTACCATCATTAACCAACAAACCGCCACGTCCGCGACCATCTAGTAATATGGTGGGTGTGAAGCGGGACGAGTGACCCAGCCGCCCACCACAACCACTCACACTTTATCTAGAAATGACCTACCACCCATCCTCCTCCTCACTACTGTACCACACCATAACATCAGTACGGACGGTGACGAAACACCCAACGCTATTGCTACGTCAGCCATCAGACAATTTGGCGCGATTTTCAAAATACTTTCTACACCAGCTGCTACACCAATTCAGATAAACTAACCCATATAATCCAAATAACGTAACCTAACCTAATCCACTGTTCTACCTGTGTGTTATAGTTAAGTCATAAACAATTTGGTACTCTCAATATGTCCAAAACAATCAGTGGAATTCCTCATAGACTATTACTGGAACAATTATGGTCATATGCTCCAACTTCCAGAGATCTTATTTTTGTTATAACAGCTTAGTGATACACAGAAGAATTCGTTTGTCTCTGGACCGCAGGATATCAATACAGTCGTATATAACAAGGCGACAGCGCATCTTTGCCGGGATACAGAGTAGACAAGCTTCCTCGAGTTATTGTCTTGATAAACAGGTTAAGTTGCTTAGATACATTTCTAGTCATATATAGGTTAAGGCATCAACTCACTTCATCACAGGAATTCTTGTTTCTGCGCTGTGTATCTAATGGCGGTATGAACTTGTACGTATGTGCGTGAATAAAATATCTGCATGTGAATATTTGTTTATGCTGCCACTGGTGGAGAGCGGGTGCGTGTCATGGTGACAAGTTCACCCACTGTGGAGCTTCAGCTAGAACCTGTTTGCCAAGTTGTTGCTGCTTCCTTCACCGTCACAGATGCCAAATATGCCGTTTTTCGCTTTGTCCAGAGTGAGGCAACACACCCACATACATGCACGTTAGTTTAGATACATTCTTACACAGATAGAGTAGATACAAACATTATTACATACAAAACATGAGCACAACACACACACAAATCCAAAAATGCCCACACTGGTCAAAAACAATCACATGGCGCCCATCATTTATACTTTTACATTTCTATTATAACTCTTTCATAATGCTGGATTATATTTCATATTATATCTCATATAATAATCGAAGCATAAATAATTACAATATATTACAATTTACGCACATTATTAATTAAACTTAAAATGTCAGTCTGATATTTCATTGCATAAATATTTCGTAACACTGAAGGTAATGTGACGCTGCAGTGGGAAAGCAGGACTTGGTTTCAACAAAGTAAAGCTGAAAACCAACTGTTATATCTTATAATTTGTAATGTTGTTAAGCGCTTAAAGACCTTCGTTGTTGAAGAGCAGTAATAACGGTATAAAAACAAATTCAAACACGACAAGTTTCCGGAGCATTAAGTTATGCAACAGAGCACCTATGTTTATGCTGCTTGATTAAACTTTTAGTTTCATGAGTCCACAAGATTTGTGTGGCAATTTCCGTGGTTACTGCGACAACGCTCAGTTAACACAACATCCAAACTTCCAAGCCTGGTGGTGTTTAATATCACTTTTGAAGATAACTGCATTTTTACAAACTCGAAGTTCTCGGCAAAATCCCACTACGTATTTCACATTGGGTGAAATCACTCACCACGATTGAGGCGGATAAAGTCCAACCAGCCCGAATTTCCCAGCGTCCAAATATTATTGTTACATGTAAAGTTTGGTTTGGTTAGGTTTTGTGGAATTCACCTTATAACCGTAGACTGATGTTGACCCTAGTATCGTATTGCTGCCCAGGCCATGTTAGAATGCCCCTGTATGTACTGTACAACAGGTCCCAAAACTGTTACGTGTACAGCAGATCTCAGGACTGTTACAACGTACAACAGGTCCTAGAACTGTTAGAGCTTGTATATATGAGGTCCCAGAACTGTTACAATGTGTACATCAGGTCCCAAAGGTGAACAGGAAATTCCTTTGTATCTTTACGTTACTGTACTCAGTTTTTGTTTCAGAAAATGTTCTCAGGAGACACATTCAACGTTACGATCACCACATATTCATAATAATATGAGAATGGATTATGTGAATGTTATGGTAATGAGGATGATACGGTATAATTATGTTGTAATAGTCCATTAGTGTAATTATAGCATGTATTTAAATAATATCTTACATTGACACAAGATATTATGGTGGTGTTTACCTTAGTCATCTAGCATTTACGGTCGGCCTTTGAAGATAATATAACCCGAGAAATTCCACGATACCTTATAAGTGCCTCAAGGCTTAAGTGAACAACACTAAACTTCCATGTCTGTTCAAGATCTCTGAATACTTTGATGGCACATTTAACTTTATAATGTATATATATATATATATATATATATATATATATATATATATATATATATATATATATATATATATATATATATATATACAGAGAGAGAGAGAGAGAGATTTTTTTTTTAAATATCATCTATACATAAAAATTTTAACCGCAATTATCACAAGGTATTATATTTATATATGATAATGATACTAGTCAATTCAAATCATATACCATAAGTGTCCAATACTTTACAGTACTTCAGTATATGGGTTGGGAATAACGGAAATTCCTGTGTTACTGCTGTTGTTACCGTGGCGGCCTCGTAAGATTGCTCTCTATGTTAACAAAAACGACTGAGAGAACATAATACTGCACGACTTACTTTTTCTTAGTTGTACAGACCACCAGCTGAGCAATGGGTGACATGCTTTAAGGGGGAGCCAGGGGGCCCTATAATAAACACTGGGTGAATCCTGCTCGTGCCGTCACCACCTGTTCTACTAAGCCGTTTGAGTTATTTACACTGCAATTTCCGATACATAGACTTAAATTTGGCTTTGAATTATCACGTCTTCACTGCACCGACTTCACGGGAGTTGTGTAGCGCCTGGTATCCCACCCTCCGCACACTTCCACCACCTACGATGCACTGGCACGCGCGTCCTTCCTAACACCTCATGCTACCCGGGCAGTCAGTCAGACAGTCGGTCGAGGGCGCAGGTAGCGTTAAACGTGCTGCATTATTGTTACAAGTAAAAAAAAATGCCTGTATCAATGTAAATATGTCGCGAGTGTTATCTGATTTGTTTTATTGTTCATGACCAAAAAAATTACCAATGTGAGGTCGTGTGACTGATGAGTAAGCAACTGAGTGAGGGGGTGGGGGGAATTCATGCACTATCCCAAGTTTATAAAACTCGTTACTACTGGTTACTACCGTTTTTTTTTCACTAGAAACTATGTCTCATGAGATATCTCTTGATTTAAAACATAACACCGTTTAGCTGAGTTATGAACTCATAAAAAGTCTCCTTGGGAGTTATTAAGGTGAACAGCCTTACTACCAACACAGCGTGAAAAAGCTGCAAAGAATCTCGATATGAACATTACCATGTTGTGTGAGTTAGGGCCGACCGCACTGAGTTGCATAAATATGTTGCAGTATTTATGTCTAATGGGTAGTTTTGTTTGATATCGGAAGTTACATGTGAACTATGACGAGATGAGCTTGAATTTACGTAACTCTTGGAATGTCCTGTGTCGTGCTATGCTCAGTGGACTACGGTGTACAGCGACCAACATTAGTCTCCCTTGTGCTAAGTTAAGGCGTACCAGGCTGAGCTAGGCTGTATCAGGCTGATCTTAAATACACCAGGTAGAGCTAAGCTGTATCAAGCTCAGACTTGCAGGCTTAAAATAGATTCTTCTGGGCTCTGCTAAGCTAGGCTGTACAGTATTACCAGGCTGAGTTAGACTGTTACAGGCTGAGCTTTTGTTCCGGGCTCATCTAGGCTATACCACATGAGCTAAGCTTACAGGGCCGAGTTTGATTTTACTAGAATAAGGTAAGCCATGTCGAGCTGATCTTTAGCTATACCGGTATGAGATAATGTGAGAGGTACAAGACAGGAAACGCCTTCAAAGAACAGAAGCCTAACGAGTATTTTAAGATATTTAGAACTTTCAAAGCCTTGTAGCTCATAATATAGGAGTTAAAAATGTTGACGTGGTTAATGGCATAAGCTTGAATTTACCTAATATTACGTGTGCATTTCGTATAGACGTGTTTTTTGTTACGGTAGTATACTGTATATTTATACATTTAACTACGCATACGTATTATACATGACCTTCCTCTTTGTTATGTATACTGTACTGTATTTTTAAGTGCATATTCAGAGATTGATTACCTATAGTATGCTTTTTTATACTAAAATATAATTGGTACTGTATAAATAAATGTGCACAACTATCATGATATAAACTTTCTGTTCGTTTATTGGACAAGTATATCTGGTCGGTTATACTATTATAATAAAGATTATGTTTATCTCAATAAAAACTTATTTGAATACTTGCCCATAATGCAGCTTCGCAGATCAGACAAGTCAAAGAGATAAAAGTACATATTATCAACAATATATTATCAACATCATATACGTACAGTACATCTTTTATTGCTGTCTGTACTGTATATGTGCAGTATTTCCTTGTTCTCTGGATCTTTCCTATTCTACATATACACGTTTAGTATAAATCTATTTACTATGATATGAGGTGCAACATATACGTAAATATATCTTTTATGAGGAAGATATTTTTTATTTATTTTTACTTATTTTTTCGTCCCCTCGGCCCTGTTGTGGGTCGATGACCTGTGCCCGGGTGCGCTAGGGAACCACACGTGCTGTCTACCCCTCCCCTTTGCCATTTCCTGCTTTATATTTTTTATGGTGTCAAAAGAGCTAAAATATATATATTTAGCAATGTATTAATTAAAATCGTGACTGAAGCCCCAAGTATGGCATTTAACTTCCTAACAAAAACAAAATGAGCCATGGACAAAACCTATCCTGTGGGTCACAATTTACAGTGCATCTCCTGCGTGAATCCTCTGACAGGAAACGTTCAGCCAGAAATCAATATAAGACTCATCCGTTACTTTATAGTTTCTATGGAACGCCTTGTATTAATATTTCACAATTAAGTTTCATATTATATATAGGCCTACAGCTGATGAACCGCCGGTAGCTTAGCTTTCATCGGGATATCGTATCCAGTATTGTGAAAATATTGTGAACAGCACTGCTAAAACAATTCTTTTTTAGGAGACAATCCTATTCTCACTTATCTAACCGTCTTTGGCAAGTTTTAGTTAAATTTAGTTGATTCATGTAGCCTGAATAAGTAATGGTTTCGCGGGTCTGTCCATCGATTTTTTCTCGATTATTATTTGGTGTCATAAAGTAAAAAAAAATTGGCAAACTTAATTTAATCTGAGTTGTGTTGTGTTAGGTTAGGTTAGGTACATGCACGTGATCTATTAACTCAGATTAAATTAAGTTTACCAATTTTTTGTGACTTCGTGACACCAAATACTAGTCGAGGTTAGGTTAGGTTAGGTTAGGTTAGGTACATGAACTCGATCTATTAACTCAGATTAAATTAAGTTTACCAATTTTTTGTGACGCCAAATACTAGTCGAGAAGTGATTGGCAGTCCGATTTATTCATCTAGGACCATTATTTGACTTCATTCCGGCTATATTTGGCTACATTTGGGTAATTAGTCGGACCCGAAAATTAACGGAAATTAATATGAAAAAAGTTACAGCCAATTTAACTGCACTTCACCTCATAGACCTGTCTGGGGTGGCGACACACGGACTACTATATAGCAAACCGAGCTCTTACTTTTCTTCTATTGGTTCCTACATTTCTAATTCCAAATTTGAAGAGATAAAATTACGCTAGAAACAACTATAAAAGAAGGGAGTTTACTCGATGGGTGTTACTGGACAACCAAGTTTATAACAAAGTAACAAATAAGATCAAATTCAAAACATTTATTGACAATTACATCAAAAGGAGCTGGTTAGCATGCTAACTAGCCCGCCCAAAACTAGTCTTAACAAGAGCTCTTTAACATTCTACTAATCATAAATCTAACAACTAAGATACCTGCCGCCCGAATAGTTATGTATGATAAGTGGTGAAATGATAAATTAAACTACAATTTAACTGTCACTGCTTATGAATCAACTACATAGCGATAAACTTACCTTTTCCTGTCTTTTGAGAACAAATGAAACCTTAGCTCTCTATCATTGACTGGTGTTTCCCACACACAACACTGGGTAGACCAACTGCCCGATCGGTTTGTAAGGTGATAAGTGGCGAAAATAAAAAATAAAAAATGGTGGGTGGTGTATAGAGCCATACATCTATTGTATGGCTCAGCGCTGCAGCACATGTTGTTAACACACACCAACCACCGCCCCGCCATCCAACTAACAGGGAGAGCATTACTGCCGCAAGATTAAATATTCCTTATGATATTCCTTGTCTGTAGTTTTCAGTGTCGTCCGATACCAGCTAATTTCGGTTATTTTCCACTGGTGTCCGAAGCAGTTGTCAATCAATATGACCTCCTGTGTCTAAGAACAGTGTAATACTGTATTTCATGCGATCAGGGCCGGTGCAAGATGATTTGGCGCCCTAGGCAAGCCTTTAGATGTGCGTCCCCTTGATAAGCTAAAGTAGGTACAGTAACCCATGACTACATTGTTTCTAACTCTCCAAACACCACTGATAACATAATTTTCATCTTGTGGCTTTATTACTTCATCCATGCAAATAACCCATTATTGTTAGTACATTAAGTCAATAAATCCTTGACGTAAATGTCAATGAAACAATTTTTAGTTATTTTTTTTATTTTAGGGTAATCTTTAAAAAATAATAACATATCATAAGCATTTAGCTCGCTCCAGCCTCCTGCGAGTTATAACCTACTATTATTACATCATTATTATATACATGTAGTGCAAAATAAGATACTTGTGAGTTGTGACCAGTCATTGGTCGGACAATATATTAAATTGACATCTTAAGTATAAATAGGTACTAGTGTGGGAGTTAATATAACTTGTTGACCAAGAGAGGCGTCGACTTGTAGGTTGTGTTGGAGGTGGCTGGCCTGTAATCGGTTTATCTGACCAAGTGCAGCGTACAGATTTCCATCAATGGCACTAATAAGTCCAGTACTTGGAGCTAGTCTGGTCAGGTGACCCAGGGCTATGGCCAGCCCAAGGGGGAGCAGTGCCCTCAGAGATGTAACCATATTAATCATATGTGTAGTGAGTGTGCACCGTGCCGGCACTGTTGTACCACAGCACAGTACCTACATCCCTTCCTCCTGACCAATATCCCTCCTCCAGACAGGCCTGGCATTTTACTTATTAGGGACTTGCCACGCATTGCCGTAAACAGATGTATTGTATCGGGAATTCTCCTTCACACACTCATCCTGTCACTATATGTAACTTGCCGATGAAATCCATGGCCCTTCAGTCACTTACGCTCTTAAATGCATGAGTCGATTAGGCAAGCTTGAACTCTCCGTGCTTCCCTGTCAAGTGCTGTTAACGCTTTTTGCCTTGCACAGAGTGCAAGGGAGTGCCCAATAAACTAGCCCCCTCGCGAGGTAAATTATAATTATAGTGTGTGATCAGACTTCATACAGAGAGGTCATGCCACACTCACCCTGAGCTCTTCAATATCAGTTGTAAGACTTGTAGACTGGCGAATTAACCTTAAGAAGTTTCTAAGTGGATTGACCAAGGAGGTCAGCCTTAAGTGTATTAATAGTGAAACCTTTCACAATAACTAGCCATCTCCTTTGATATAAATGTAGTTTATTTTGTAAATAAATGTAAATATCTGTAGTGTAATTTGATATTTGCATAATCCTATGATAACTTTACATCACTTGTGAGTAAAAATAACATCAAGTGATTTGATACACAGTGAATAAAAAAACTAATTATTTCCCATCACTCATTAACATAGTTGGTGGCAGGGTATCAACCATTGATTGATAATGAAGAAGATAATTGTAACCTCCTGATTGGGTTTTTGTGAGATTAACGAAGGATAAACAAATAAATTATACAAACCCGACACTAGATCTATCAATTAAACACAACCAAATTACGAATATCCTCGATAGATACTTTAATTATGAATTATTCTGCAGTGCATCTTCTTATCGCCTCAAACAGCACATGCCAGCAACCCCTCCAGCCGGTGAGAGTCCTTGACCCTTCCGCTACACTCTATCAAAGACGGACAAGATGAAACAGACGAACAAATAAATTGGAACTAAACACGTAGATTAAATACAACTTTTGTATGGGAGAAATGGCAGGAATAGGTAATAATTGTAGCAACTAAAACTGACGAACGCTCCCTCTCTGTGACGTCAGGTTCAGTGGGTGTGGCCTGGGTGTACAGCGACCTGCGTATGGTGACACAGGAAGCTTACCCCGAGTGACCCTTGTACTGTACTGTGTTCTTACAGGTGTTCATCAAGTTACATTACCTATAAACGAGAACATATATATACAATGAAAGCTTCAGCGGCCTAATTCGAGACAAAGTTGGTATTGATTACTACAGATTGTAGGCTTACATATTCCGGATTATGATTGATTGTAAGAACCCTTGGTTGGATTTTTTTTAAGACATTATTATGGTTGATGCCTCAGACCTTATAGAGAGCGGTTCAAACAAATGGCACAAATTATCATTAATAATCGATATAACGTGTACGTATTAGCATTACATTTCAAATACGCCGAAAGGAAGAAAATAATTTTTATATATCAATAAAATATAATTTAATATTAAAACAGTATAAATATTATGTTTAGGAAATAAATTAAGAACCGACGCTTTATAGATGCGGTCCCTGAAGAAGCCTACGGTCGCCATTATGAAGAGGAACTCAACGATGGTCTTTGTTTCTTAACCGACAATATCAGTTTAAGGAGATACTTTCTGTTGTCAAGGCTTCTCAGGTATGTTATTTGTTCTTGTCTTAAGTAATGTGACATAAAAGTTTGAGAGAGGAGAGTGTAGTTGTTAAAGGAAGGTGTCAGTAGTGGACCTGGCAGCAGGGCGCAGGTCTGGATCGACGCGACGCCACCCAGCGCTCACACCTGGGATGACAGTCACACTCCACTATTTCTCTAATTATCTCCCTCTCAGGTATTTATACATTCTTAATATATCAAATTTATTAAGGGAATTTGTTGCTGTGTAGGTTATACTAACATTTGAGTCTTGTTAGCTAATAGTTAGATAGATAATCGCGGAGGAGGTGTGACGCGGGAATGGCAGCCAACAAAGCACATCAGTAGCCATTTTCCAGCTCGGGGTCCAATGGCCGACCCCGGCACCACCAGTCCTACACTAAACTCTCCACCTAAAAGTTTTTCATTCCATCATATTCAGCTATTCTTAAGGGAAATGAAATGCTTATAATTGTAAAATGGTATTGCTAATGAAAAGCTGGAGGGGATAGTGCCTTGGCCTAGGGGCTGGTCGGTGCTTACTAAACTACTTTATACCAAGATAACTTCCTTTATAAAATTCAATCGCAGGTGAAACTTAATGTTATCGATAGGGTAAAATTCAGCTTAATTGTTAACTTAGGGATTCAAATACAGGGTGCATTAAAAAAAGTCAAGTCACATATTATTTCATTACCTTTAAGATGTTAGGTTGTATTGTAGGTCAATTTATGATAATATCCAGGTTTCGATTTTTCCAGAAATGTTTTTTTTTGCAATGGGTCTGTGATTTGAACGAATATGACCTTCGTTTCTGGTGCTAATCGCCCGTTTTCGAGTTACGGCCCTCCCCCATGACCTTGATGAGGGAAGGACCTAACCTAACCGTGAAAAACCCTAGTCAATTTAGGATAGAATACCCACGACTGGTCGTTTTCCACGTAAAAGCGTTTGATAGCTTCCCACTCCTTGAGCGAGCACCCTGCACATATTGTAAGGTAAACATTTTGAATAAGTAGAATTTAAATGAGAAGGCGGCTTCATCTCCCCAAATTGCTGTCATTGGTCAATGCAAAATGGGTCGTCAGTAATTGGCTACCACCTTCCCACATTGCAAGAAATTTTAACAAATTATGAAGAATGACATCAGGCAGTCATTAATTGGCTACCGCCTTTCCACAATGCAAGACATGAAACAAATTACCAACGGGTCCCGCGTTTCCCATAATGCTCCATTCTCCTCAGTTCATTGTTTACCTATTGGCAAGAACAGAGCTCTTCAAAGGGATGTTGTTGCTTTTGAATATATCTCCGTTACTTCTCGTCAGCACAGAGTGTCATCGAAGGAAATCTTTTTTTTTTGTTAGGTAATGTTGTAAATAATAAAAACCTGGCTACTATCCTAAATTGACTGTATTGTATACTATTCCTGCATTGCCTATGTATACAGTTGATCAAAAAAACTATCATTAAAAAATTGTGTTAGACAATATGACAACGGACGAAGGATTTTGGTAACCCTGCCGAGACAACAGGAGTCGTGTTCATTCTGAAATTCACTGACCGCCAAGTAGATAGTTTTTTTTTATTGGTGTACATGCACGACTTATGTGAACTTGTTTGACTTTATTTTACTGAATACTAATCTATCCATGTAGACTTCGGCCCCTTTTCACTGGTACCAGTTAACAACGGCTGCACTCCTGAACTAGAAAGTTGAAGAACATTTTGTCTTTGGGATCTATCGTTGGTTTCTTTTGTGTAGTACATGATTCTTAGTGGATATTTTGCTGTACCGACCAATTTCTTATTAGTGCCGTTAAGGAGATATGACCCCTCCCACTACCAACAAATTTGATCATACAAAGTGGGCAGGGCTGTGAAGTACAGAGGAGGGAAATTGTGGGATAAAAAAATGCCCAAAACTGATGAAACATCCTAACCAGAAGGACCTGACCTAACCTAACTTAACTTAACTTAACTTAACCTAACTTAACTAAGCCCCTACCCCCCTTGCCGTATGTAGAAAAAAACTTGGCTTAATTAACAGATGCCACTTGAATGAGGAAGTAAATGCAGAAAGCACAGTGAGGAGATGTGATTGCTTTGGCGACTTTTTTTATTTTTACACAAACCAAAGTTTTTTATCTGGATGGTAGCGACAGTCCGACCTGCACTCTGCACATTTCACAGAGGTTTGCTGTATACCACGAGCCTAAAAAATGTCAATGGCAGCGGTTTTATTTTTAAATACTGTTACGATGAATGATTCACCAAGATGAGGAACACCCTGTGCAGAGAGAAGCCATCTTGCCATTACCCAAGTAGAATTCAAAATTGAGCACATGCAGGAGTATTGCGTGACACCGAGATTTACGGTGATTGGTGGGACATAGTCACGTGAGTCAGATGGAAACGGTCTCCCCATCAGAGATGTATGGTATTTTAAGTGAAATCATAAAGTGCAGAAACTGTTAACACTATAATTGCCTGTGTGTTGATCATGGTTTATACTAAGTTAATTGTGGTTATATTTTTCTTGTAGTAGATAATTAATTTTGACAATAGCGAGTAGGCGTAATAATATTGGAGTACTGTACAATACAATATTGTATGGCCAAGTAAATAGTGCCCTAAAGAGTTGCTGTTTTGATCAAACTTTACAGTACGTAGGCAGTCAAGGTAGTGCTGACCATAATACAGTACAGTACTTTTCATTACCAAAAGCTTAGTTTTCAGTGTGCTGTACAGTAAAGTGTGTGCTTTGACCTTAACCTAACCGGCCAAAATGAATATGGGACACTTTTTACCTTAGACTTTGAATTGTTGAGTCCTGATAATTTAATCTCCCTTTGCAATTGTATAGTATGTAGTAATTATGTTTTTTTTGTTCCAGATGAGAAAATTGTGCCAAGATGGGAGATGGAATGCTATCATTGTATTGGAACAATCACAGAGCAACATTCTGCCACATCCTATCAACACTCAGGGAAAAGGTGAGACTTGACATAGTTAATATTATACAGTACAGTAAGTCTGAACCAACAGAAAGAAATAGACCTGTTATGAGAGATGTGAGGTCTTTGATGAAATTATTGGGTCATGAAAATATCACGAATAAAAAACTTAATGGTAGTTAGGTAGATGGAGAATTATTACAGGTCCTTCAGAGTATTAAAGGTAAGATGATATTTGTAAGGTAATGGGTACAGTATATGAGTTTGTGCTTGTTTCATAATTGTGGTAAAGGTATCCCTCATTTAGCAATTGGGATTTGTTCCTGAAAAATCAGTTGTTAAAGTGAAAGGATCATGAAATGAGGGAAAGCGATAAATAATGTCCAAAACAAGGAATAATATCTTTGGAGCTGGCACGTAATTGTGTAGCCCAGTCTTGGACTGGCCACCCAGTAGCACTCAGAGTGGGTGAGGCAGGCTGAGCTGTTATTGTTCAACTCATAATTTTGAGCATATACTGTTCTGTATAGCTATGTAATTTTATATTTTATTTTACTATGTTATATGCTCACAAGCGTTCACGTGCCCAAAAATTATCATAAAGGTCAAAAACACATTTCTTATGTGCTCAGCAGTTAGCCTACTGAGCAGGAAGGAGTTAGAGTTCACTGCCTCAGTACACACCCATCCATCCATGCTTCACACTTTCCCCACCCCATAGTACATACACTGTATCCTCGTGTATTCTTATCATTATAATTTGGATTTTGACTTCGTTTGTATTTTTTTTTTAATTTAATTAAATGATTTGAATTTGGAATGAATCCAAAATAACCGAATGGTTACAAAAAGTCGCGCAGCAACAGGCTTGAAATTTCAGTCTTGTCGGTTCACTTGTGCACTCATGGCTCCCCAAGCAGTGTGCCTCAGGTGTCATCCCACTTGGATGATCGTATAGTATTTGCTGCACGGCTTTTACCATCCCACTTACTGTAGATGATTCCTATATTTATATTAAAATATTTCATATTGTATTCATGAAAAATAAATATTTGTAGATCTTGTCAATAATTCAGGCCACTTGCCCTTAGGTGACCTCATAATAGTGTCAAGGCTAAAACAGGCGGAAATAGTTAGGTCATTAGTTTGGGAGGATACCGTCAGTAATCTTCATAATAAAACCTTCCAAATATAATTTGTTAAATTTATTATTCATTTATATTATATTCCTATAATTCATTCATCTTAATATATTTCATAATACAGTATCTGGGAATTGTCTTAGTGGCATGTAATCTTGTGTCATGCTGCTATCATGTGAGAGTGGGTTACCAGCGCTGGTGGAGCTTATGTGACGTTGAGAAGTTTAGCGCCTTAAAGAATATTTTATTTATTTATTTGTTTATTTTTTTTAATTTGTGGAATAATAATAATAATAATTATTGTGTTGATGGAAATATAAATCTGAAATATTTTGAGAAAGTAAAATTAATGCAATTTGTGTTAAAACCTTACGTTAACAATTATTATATCATGGATGGTAACTCATTATGTTGATTGGAATAATGAGGAACAATCTTTGGAGCGATCTGAATAAGGTGTAAAAACTGAACAGAAAACAAACAAATAAGCGAATACCAAAATTCAGAAAGTGCCAAATAAGGTATAAATATGAGACAGTATTCCAAACTGAAAATTGACGATTGTTTAACAAAGGGTGTTAATTTTTTGTAAAATCGTTAAACCAAAATATCGCTAATTAAAAGATCGTTAAATGAGGGATACCTGTACATGGTAAATTTTCAAGAAATATTATGTCTTAGGTCCACAGAGTAAAAGTTGCACTTAGGTCTGCAGTGCTGTACAGGGGGATGGGAATGGATTCAACATGTCCACCTTTTCTGACCTCCACAAGTTTGTTGGCTGATCAATTTAGTAAAAAATAAAAGTTTGTAAGCCAGTTGTGATCTGATTCATTCGATTAATAAATTTGTAAATTTTTTGTTTTATTTATCCATGGTTTATCCACAGGACAGTATACTGTTTAAGATGTCTATAGCCATTTCTCCTGCCAACATAGAAAGGTTGAAGTTTATAGAGGTATGCTGTATTAAATTTGTTAGGTGGTATAGCATATGATTTAATATATTTATTTTCTTTTATTCTCAGGAGCGGTATACAGATGCAACCCTGGCGTGTGATGGCAAGTTTTACCCTGTACATAAGTTGGTGCTATCAACATGTAGTGAATATTTTGAAAATATGTTTGAGCACACACCATGTAAACACCCTATTATAGTGCTCAAGGATGTGAAACCTGATGAACTAGAGGCATTACTGAGTTACATGTATGCTGGTGTAGTTAGCGTAGCCCAAAATGACCTCGCTAGACTTATTAAAGCGGCGGAAATGCTGCAAATTAAAGGCTTGGCCGTACCTGATGAACCACCACAATCGGAAGAGAGTAGAAGAAGTGCACCATCTAGAAGTGGGAGGGAAGAAAGATCAAGTCCACAGCCAAAGAGAAGAAGAAGAGAAGAAAATGGCACTCCTTCTCAAGGTGGCTCTCAACCCTCCAGCAGTCCTCCTTCCTCACCAAGAGCCTCTCCATACCAGGCAGACAGTGAACAGTCTCAGGCGCGCTCCAGAACGCACGGAGAAAGTCGCCGATCGGACAAAATGGACACTATAGAACAACCCGCTTCACACGAGTCTCAGGCATCAGATGTTAAGGTGTGTTATCATGACTTGTGTCAACTGTAACATGATGAACAGTTATAAGTTGTATAAAAGGAAAAGGATTTTTCACCGAATCTATTTTTTGTTTTGAGCTTAGGAATAGGAACCCATGTGTTACTTGAAGATCTTCCCTTCCCTCCACTCATTCCACCTGTAGGTTAACAACCCTAATCTTACCAGGGGTAGGTTAGCTTAGCTTTAGTTTAGAGAGATTAACATGTGAAGTAAGTTGGGAGGCAAGTCTTTGGATGATCCTAATCCTCCCCTTGGAAAGGTGACATAAACTATTTTTTGGAATGACTGTTAGTCTCACATTACACTCACTCATACTTACTTGTGTACCATAATTTGTAACTGTTTGTCCATAACTGGACAAGGGTTCATGATTTCAGATGTGGTAAACTACAAATTTGAATGGATTGTTATGAAATTGTTAAGGATCATTTTTAATGATAAACAATTTGGATTTAATATGTTTTCAAAGGTAGAAGTCACTTTATATAAGTTTTGGGAAGGGAATCCTCAAGCTTGACAGCTGTTTCATGTTACTCACTCTTACACTCCACTTGTACCAGGTGTGAATTTCTATTTTATGGCCTACTTCAGCCTCAGTTCACAATACTGTACGTACTGTTTAGGGAAAATGTGAATGTAAAAACAAATACATATTTAATTATTTCTTTTAAGAAAGCATAAGATGGTTGTCCTGTTAGGTTAGAACAATAAATGTATACCTTAATTTCTATTTAGTTGCCGACTACAGAGCCACTGCTTTAAATGTAGTAATGCACAGTATAGTATTCCTGGTAGATAATTTCATAATTAAAATGTGAGGAGGTCAATAATGATAGTTTTTTATTTGTTAGGCAGTGCGAGAGGTTTTTAAGTTTCCAAATTGTTCTTTCTCAGATTATGGTTGATGAATCTCTAGTCAAAGAGGAGATGGTTGAAACGATAGACAATAATCAGTCGGAGGGACTGGACACCGGAATGCAGTATGGTCATGTGGGTAATGATCCCGGCATGGATGGGTCTGGAGGTGGGGAAGAACATAGTCACATGATGCCCAACAAGTTTGACCAACCAGTTATACCCGGGCAAGCACAGCCCCTTGCAGATGCTGTTGCAGAAGCACTAGCGGGGCCTTCAGGAATGCAAGGGGTAAGTGCTGAAAATGTATGGTTTGTAAATATATTCAAATTTTTTGGAAAGTGCAAGAGTAATAACCCAAGTTTATTGTATGCATTAACTATCAATTCCCTATAACGTAAAATGCAAATGCCAACTTGCACATTTGCTGACAAAAGAGCTATGATTCACACATCAAACAATTTCGGAAGAGATTGTAAAACTTTGACTTTCTGCCATGTATGGAAGTTAACTTTTCATCTGTTTATACAAATAAGCGAATGTTTTTAAGGTTTAAAGTTTTTAAATGTGTATTTTAACAGTGGCTTGGCGGGAGTGATATGACCGGGAGCTTCTCGGCAGAAAATTATGGTGGTGAGGGGAGCCAGGAGGTTCACCCATCACAAGCAGCTGGCGGTGCTCCTCATGCGCAACAGCGGGTGAGTGTTACATTTAACTCTTACAGAAAAGGAGCCATTGTATAGGGTTATTCTAGTACTGTACTGAGGAAATTTTGAAATACAGTACTGTACATAATAGTGAAGGATTCTGAGTACCCCAATTACAGGTCGTGTTAATGATGGAAGATTGTAGGCGATTCAGACGTAGTTTTTGGATATAAGAAAAGGATAGTGTTGATTGAGCGTGGGATACTCTGCTGGAAACTAAAGAAATGGCATGTCATGATTGATATAGTAAATATATTTGAACAGGCTCACACACATACAGTACAGTAGTAGGTTGCTCTCTGCATATCACATCGTCATATTGATTCTCCATTTTGCTCTTTGGAATCTTTGTTCCCATATTTTCACAACTCATTTGTCAATATGTACAGTATGAACTTTCTTCAGTTACTGTATATTTTCCTTTCACCTTCATCTTGGATTATCTAGTTAATGAACTTGTGTGTTTGGCTAACATTCTGTCTATACATGACTTGATTTGTACCTCTTCCTCTGACCGGAACTAAAGAATTTAATGAACCTCCATATAACTTTAGCGTGGTATTCATTAGCAGAATGCTGTGCCACATGATAATGTTTACTAAATTCTACATTATTGAGTAAACATTCAAGGTCTCTGCCAGAGGTCAAAGGACAAAATTGAACATAATCTATAAAGAACCTTATGGTCACGGAAGTTTGTATCTAATTAAAATGTGACCATAAAATAAGGCTTAAGATGCTGTACTTCAAGGATGATGCGCTGCTACATACAAATTGGAGTTTTTTGTCTTAAAACAATGAGTGTCAAAGTCATGGCAAATAGTACAAAACTTATTTCAGGATATTATGCAGCATCAACACTAGGTGTACAGTAAAGCAATAAACTGGGTTCTCTACTTTCATACATCACTGATGTCTTGCAGTCCAAGGTCATAGGAAGTTACCATACTGTAAACAGTGTATCCACAGTTTTTGAGCATTCACTACAAAATGTTCACAAATGAAAGAGATAAACCTGTGACTAAAATAGGCACTGAACTTTTTCCCTTTTTGGCCCCTCAATATTGGGTAATGGTCAAGGTTATGGGGCCAGTGCAAGAGCTAGATGTGAGTGTAATGTATTGGGTCCTACTAGGTAACACTTTATTAACAGGAGAGACCAATATTTGTATTAAATTTATCAATTTTTTTTATTATACTACAGTATACATAGACAACATAGATATAGGCGTAAACAGCAACATGAGTAAATTTGCCGACACAAAAATAGGGAGTGAAATTAAATATGACGAGGACTCCGCAAAACTACAGGAAGATCAAACAAATTTTTTGCTTGGTCTGAAAAATTGGCAAATGGAATTTAATTTGGAAAAATGTAAAGTACATAGCTTAGGAGATGTAAATAGAGAAACCTGTTGTCAGATGAGCAATGTTGATATTCTGTAGAGAAATCTGGCTTGTGAGACCTCACTTGGATTGTGTGGTTCAGTTTTGGTCACTGTACAGTACTACATAATAGATAATGAATACCCAGAAAGCATTCAGAGGGTGGATGACAAGGCTAACCCAGGGCATTTGGAACCTTGAGTATAGACAGATTCAAGCATCTGAATTTGCATGCCCTCGAGAGATGTAGAGCGAGGGGCGATATGATCGAGGAGTATAAATGGAAATCGGTTAAACAAAGGTATCCAACCAGGAGTGAAATTGTAGCAATGGTTTTAGATTTAGATTTAGGTGTGAAATGGGTAAACACTGCTTTGGAAATAGAGTAGTGGACGAGTGGAACAAGTTACCGAACATCATTATTAACTCGAACGCGCTGGGAAACTTCAAGCATAGGTTGGATTGATATATGAGCTGTAGGGGTTGGGTGTAAACAGGGCTGCCTAGTATGGGCCAATAGGCCCGCTGCGGTTTCCTCCATTATTAGGTTCTTATACTGTACTACATCAGAGAGGTCGTAGAAGTTCAATCTTACTTTTATATGGTATTTTGCTTCTTTAAATGTAACAGCCTTATTACATTTATAGTCTGTAGCCTAAATATACTGCACTTAACTTCCTTAGTCTTTTAACCATACTGTGCCTGAGGCTAAATACTCATTGACTTATTGAGTACAGTTATACCGCTATATTATTATAATTATTTTTTTTTGTGAAAGTAAAAAAAAAAATTTTCATTGTTTTTACAATTTTTTATTATACAGTATACTGTATTATTTTTGTGTGTGTGGGGGGGGGGGGTGATTTACCCTATAAAGTTGGCAGGAAAGTGACTAGCAAGTGATATTAGCAGAAGCAATATCCCTACTGGTAAGAGATGGCACAAAGTCATCAGTTTAGGCGGTGAGGTGCAAATAAGTTGGCGAAATAGTGACAGCTATCAGTCAAGTTTAGGCTCTGTTGGCTTTGGCAACTTTTAAAAAGAATTAGCATTGTTTTTCATTAATTTGTTACCATGTATGCTGCATTTTCAATTTTTGTACTTGCACGTACAGTGTTGTAGCTGCTGTATTTAAGCTAGGCTGGAAAGTTATTTTTTAACGTACAGTATATCTCAATTTATGAAGGTACTCAGCGGATAGATATGATTCAAAGGTTTTCAGGAATGCAATCCTGTCATAAACTGGAGTATACTTGTACTGTACCTGTATAGTTCACCTTTCAATTGTGTAAGAGGGATTCAGAGGGTATGCTTTTAGTGGGAATACTGTACTGTACCTCCAAAGCCACTGACCCTAATACTGTGTTCATTTTTAGATCACTTGGGTCTGTATTTATCTAATGTAGAATCTGTAGAACCTCTGGGAAAATTTGGAGCATAATGCATGTTTATTTTGACCAAGTTATTGGCTGATGCTAGATTGTCTTTCCTTGGTTTTGGCGGGATGCTTATTTAAGTTACATATTGGGTACAGTACAGTATGTCATGTATTCCAGCGTTTAGTTCAATTTTTTTATATCAGTTTTACATCCATTAATTTTTGGTCTGGTCAACATGTGTGCTGCATGATGTTAGCATTGTGATAAGCTTTAGTAAAACTTCGTTGGGTTGTACGTAAAGGTACCGTCTCATTTACTTTGTTGTCAAACGTGCAAACTTATTTTTGTAAACACTTAGAAGAAATTGAAGTACAGTTTCCTCTCGATTTAATGGAATCCGACATAATGAACTCGCAATTTAGCGGATGGAATTGTTTCGGTTATTTTTCACTCGATTTAGTTAACTACAATACAAGGGTGTACAACTTTGCTAAATTGAGATTAATTTCGTTGATATGCTCACACCTACGGAGACACCTCAGACACGTGATATGTACATAGAAACATTATTCATGGCTTACCTTAAACTAGGGAGTTCAGTGTTTGTTTTGAATTTTACTATAATTTCCACAAAAATTTTCCAATTGATATCCGCACTCTTTTGACTTTTTCCCCTTCACCACTTTCTTTCTGAGACGTCGGAGAGACTTTCAGCGTGATGTCTAAGCACAGTACAGTCTCTCCTCGACTTACGGCGGGATTCCGTCCCGACGACCAGGTCGTAAGTCGAAAAGGTGAAAATAATACATAGAAATTCTAAAATGGGTCTCTCTTTTTCTTCTCAGCACCACGAGAACTCTCACTTTTATGCTTGCCAGCCATTTTAAAGGGAATTACAAATGAAAAAATTTTTCAGTACACAGCGCGATCACTAACGTCGGTACTAGAAAATACGTACAGTAATTTGAAAAATATTTTATACGACCACGGCGGTCGTATGTCCGGGTTGTTGTAAGCCGAGGAGTACCTGTAGTTAGTTGACCGAGATGTAGATGTAGAGGCAAGCAGTGAATAATATGCTGTGGCAGCAGGACACAAACTGAGTGGATGTAAGCAAACCCCACGCACCAAGCGGCACATTTGGCATGGAATTTAATGGAATCATGCTGGATTTAGCGAACTAGTTCACTAAATTGAGTGAAAATGACGGACATTTCGATTTAGCAGATAGGGGTGGCTCGAATTGTAATTTGTTAAATTGAGAAAACATATCTTTTAAGGAAATAAAAATTGATAGAAAAAATGAAATACAGGTACATAATAAAATTGCCACCACAGACAACCCTCATTATTTATGCTATGACATGTAATACTTTTGGTTCTTGAGAAACTAAACTGAAGAAAACTTTTTTTTCTTGTTAATGAAGTTAATATTAGTAAGGTTGTTTAAGGTAAAACACACTGATGATTAGGTAGTGAGAATGGATAGATTTAAAAGAACTTTACAGTAGTCATTTGTGTGTAACTCAAAAATTGGAGTACTGTATTGTACTGTATCTTCAGTGGCAGTTGAAATTCCTATGTGAAGACTAAACTATACCTCAGAGTTTTGGTTGTTTCACCCAGGGACTGGTGTTTATCTAGTTCAGTAAGGTCATTAATTATTTTTTGTAGGTGGCCACCACAGTGTACATGTTTAACCCCTATGTGGTTTCCATACAATAAATCTAGATACCTCCCTCTGGTTACCAAAAAGTTAATTTCTGTATTTTGCTGGAGAAGCTAGATAATGATGTCTAAAACCATATGTAATGGTTAGAAAGTAATCTACTGTATACAGTACTGGAGATCATGCTGTCATACTTGTCAACCCGATGCATATTGGAGGTGTAGTCTGGGACACATTGTGACTTATAGAGCCTCATCCTGGTCGACTTTGTGGGTGGTGGAGTGATGCACTTGGCGATAGAGTCAGGGTTATCTCTATCCTTGTCATCAGGGTCAGTGACATCAACAGACTCACTCCTTAGCATCATAAGGATCATCCTTATCAAAGAAAATAGTTTATTTTGATGTCGCGACATTCTTACAGAGTGGGACAGGTGAAGGTACTGGCTTGTTGCCAAGAAACACGAGGCCTAGTGATGTGATTGCCTGCAGGGGTATATGGTAGACAACTCAAAACGCTTATTTATAGTTCTTGGTGCCCAAAGAGACTCGTAGGAA